CAGCACCCGTCACTGCACAGCGGTGACCCGGCCCTCCGAGGCAGCCAGCGCCCTGGGTCAGACCTCACCCTGGCCACGTATTCCAGTTTCCCCAGGGCGGAGCGGTGAGAGCCAGGCTCGCGCTGCAGGGGCTGCCGGCATGGAAGTGAGCCTCTCCCCGGGAGGGCCAGGCACGTGGGTGCTAGAGGCCGAGAGCCTCAGTCTCTGCCCTGCCCTGCCCTGCCCTGGGCCCGCCCCACCGGTGCTATCTGTTAACTGCCTATGGACATGAACTCAGACCCTGCCGGCGCCTCGGGAGGCGCCCCAAGGACTCCCCTGTGTTGGTGCAATGCTCCGTGGCCCTGAGGGGCCACAGTCTCCATTTCTGCGTCTTGCATGGCCAGGCACTGGGCTGGGGTGGCATGCCCCAGGACCCTCGTTTGTGTCTAGAATGACTTTTCCTGCTCCGCCCATCCAGCCCACTTCTCCCGCCGCCGGGAGCTCGGTGGGCAGCCAGCACCTGGCACCACGTTTGTGAGCGCTCCGCTTCCTCCCTCGTCCGCGCAGCTTGGCTTTCCTCAGACCCCTTTCTGCCATGCAAAGGGAATTCTTGAAATGAAATAAAAGGTGTCCAGATTGCAGACTGCATGTTCGCCGGGCCGAGGGGGCTGCCGCGTGGCTCCGCGCGGAAGGCCTCCAGGGCACTGGGATGCGATGCCTCGGGATGTCTCCCCTTCGTTCTTTTCGAAGGAGGCAAATGTTAAGAAAACGAGTCGAGAAATTAAACGCAGACAAGTTCAACGGAGTTTTATTAGCGCAAAGGCCAGCGTGTGTGTCCGTGGGGAGGGGCAGTAGTCCCGCTTTTCAGAGGCACGTGGGGAAAACCCAGTCTGTAATGGAAGTCGTGCGTCTTTTTTTTTTTTTTTTTTTGGTGGTTAAGAGTATAAAGACCTGGGGGAGGGGGGCGAGATCACAGAGACATGGGTTTGGAGCATCTGAGCACCTAGTTGAAGTGTCTATTTTGCCCTGAAGGAGCTGGTTCCCAAAGAGGTTTTAGTGACTAAGAGAGAGGGCCGATATTTAGTGCCCGGTTCCCGCATCCCGGGCTGGTGGGGCCCCGGGGCCCCAAGCGCCCCTCGGCTGCACCAGGACTCACGCCAACCTCGCGCTTGCCCCCGGGGACCCCCAGAGTGACCTCTGCTCCGGAACTGATCGGAGGCAGTGCCACCGAAGGGCCCTCTCTGGGCAGCAAGGACCTGGAGTGCGGGTGAACCCTGCGGTCTGCTTTCTGTAGGGTCTGCTTTGGGGCGGGTTTTTATTTTCCTTCCGATGTGTTCATTAAAAATAACTTTTAACTTTAAAAAAAATGCATGCAGTAAAAATTCAAATGATTTTAAAAAAGAGACACAGTGAAGAGTAAAACTCTTTCCTGCCTGATCCCCTGTTGAGAAGCATCCATGGCTAAGAGCTGCTGCGGCTGCTGCTTCATTTTTTAAAAAAAATCCTCACCCGAAGATATGTTTTCATTGATTTGTAGAGACAGAGGAAGGAGGGGGGAGAGAGAGAGAGAAACATTGATTGCTTTCCTGCCGATCCCCTGTTGAGAAGCATCCACGGCTAAGAGCTTTTTTTTTTTTTTTAACCTTCACCCCAGGATATGTTTTCATTGATTTTTAGAGACAGAGGAAGGGAGGGAGCGAGAGAAAGATCGATCGGTGGCTTCCCGTGTGCGCCGCAGCCAGGGATCGAACCCTCAGCCTTCTGGTGTGCAGACCAATGCTCCAGACAATTCAGGCCCCCCCTCCCTCCGGCCAGGGCTACTAAGAGCTTCTCCCGTGTCCTCTCAGGACTGGAGAGGCCCTCAAAGGGAACCAGGTGACAGGCACAGAGGAGAGAAGTGCTAAGCCGACAAGGTTATCAGATGTTGCCACACACACATACACACCGCAGGGGGTGCGGCTTGAGGCCAGCGTGTTCACACTGGGATGCTCACCGACCTGCACACCTAGTGCGGCCCGCTCCCCGGGGCACCCCCCTCCCCACCCCGGAAGGTACCCAAAGGGCGTGGCCCCTGCCATCTGGAGACTTGCAGGATAGTAGAAACTAGAAAGCATCTCTACTAAGTGGCATAAAGCTGTGACCTGTGAACTTCCTTGAATAAAAAATGGGTGTATGTAGGCTAATGCATGTGCTATAAATCACACAGGAGAACACTTAAAGGCCAAGGTAAATATTTTAAAGCATTTTAAACTATTGTTTGTGGTTAAAAGAATACTTTTCTATCACTAAAAAGGAGGGTGTGGGTGAGATAATATCTAAGGTCACATTCAGCTCTGCAGCTTTTTAAAAATTTGTTGATTTTTAGAGAGAAACATCAGTCTGTTGTTCCACTTATCGGTGCATTCATTGGTTGATTCTTGCATGTGCCCTGACCGGGGATCGAACACACAACCTTGGCATACTGGGAGGATGCTCTGACCAACTGAGCTGCCCAGCCAGAGCCTCTGCATGCTTCAGTCATCACACAGACACCAGGATACAGGGACCAAGAGTGTACTGACTCCTCTGATACCACTGCCGCCAGTGGGAGTGATTGTGAACCTCATTTAAAGTTTATTCGGCAGTTGCTCTCCGGACCCGCCTACTCTCTCCACCTCCCTCTGAGAGTACACTTGCACTTTAATAAATCTTGCTATTGCCACTTGAACAACAACAACAACAAGACGTTTATTCAAAGTGTGTGTCAAAATCTGAGGGTCACTGGGAAAGGAACACTGAGTGGATTCTCAGAGACAACAAGGAGACATTTATCTCGGCGAATTCCTTGCAGTTCAAGGCTAGGACTTCACCAAAGCAAAGACAAACCGAGGGGAGAAATTGCCTGTTATGAGGTGCTTGCTCTATCCAAGGTATTCGGCGGCACGTGCATGTCACTCACACAGTGTCGTGTCTCTTAACCCCGCCAACGCCCCTTGGAGATGGTGCTCACAGTCCGTCCCAGTGGGAAGAGCCTGCTGCAGAGCGAGCCGGCACCACACCACTCAGCGAGTGCAGGAGCCAGGGCGTGAAGAGTCATGGCCGTCATGGCCGTCGTGAGGGCACCTTAAGCTTTTAGTACGACAGGCACTGTTGTGAGAGCTTGACACTGAACTAGCTCATTTAGTCTGCACAACTCTGCGAGATGCGTGCCATTATCCACCACTAATAATGAGGAATGGGAGGGGCCGAGAAGTTGATGACTTGCCCAATGTCCACATCGAGGAAGTGGCCATGCTGGGCGAGGGACCTGGGTGGTCTCCCTCCTTGGCCCCACTTTCTAACGCTCCCCGCTGCCATCTCCAAAAGCCCATGACACTGCAGAGCAGTGCCTGGTGCCGCCTCCCCCGCACACTGGAAATTTGATCCACGTAGAGTCCCAGGCTCCCGGTCAGGGATGCTGAATCATGCTGACTCTCAGGAGACTGGCTGATGGATAAGCTGGAGCATCGTTTAATACTTTCCAGGGGTGGACTGGGCATTCGCATCAGCCTGACTCCCAAGAGCTACAAGGGGACCTGCATCCGCATAAGGCGGCCTGGTGAATGTAGAAATGGAACACAGCATGTGAGTTCCATAACTGGACCATTTAACAACCTCAGTATCCTATGTCCTGAAATATCTGTCTCCACAATCTTGATACATTATTTTCTGTATCTGTGGGAAGCTTTTTTTAGAAGATTTTATTTTATTTATATTTTTTTAGAGAGAGGAGAAGGGAAGGAAAAAGAGAGGGAAAGAAACATCATTGTGTGGTTGCCTCTCACGTGTCCCCCATTGGGGACCTGGCCTGCAACCCAGGCATGTGCCCCGACTGGGAATCAAACCAGCAATCCTTTGGTTCGCAGCCCTCGCTCAGTCCACTGAGCTACACCAGCCAGGTCTGTGGGAAGCTTTTGTTGGCCAGAGAAAGTAGGTCAGACCCTGGATAGACCTCCATCATAGACTAGTTTCCTCTGCCTGGCTGGTTCTTTAGATATACCAATGATTCCATCAATCTCCTGGCGATCCGGTTGCCCTAGACATCACACTTTCTCTTGAAGGGGACTTTTCCTAGCTTTACTCATTGACTTGCCGTCCAATCATCCAAAAGTATTAATGGATGGACACTTACCTGTGCAAGATGTGGAGGTACCATGGAGGGGTATTTTAGTGAAACAGACATATAATTGCCATATAAACAAATGAAAGAAATGAGATTTCAGATCGTGATAAATGCTATGGCAAAATTTTCAAACCGGGTAACTAGACTGATGTTTTGGGACAGAGGAAGATGTTGGGGTGCAGACAGGGTGGGCAGGGAATGCCTCCCTGAAGAGGTAAAGTCTCACCTGAGCCTTGCATGCCAAGAGGGACCCAGACTTGTAAACATAACAGTGTAGTTCTCAGGGAAAGCGTTTCATATCTGTTGTACCAGTGGAAGTCCATTGCAAATCTCTACAGAGACCACGTGGCACAAACTAGGCACATACAGTTGCAAAACTCCACACCCATCATTTAACAGTAGCATGTGCCCTGGATTACATCCGTGAAACCGGGGCTATCTTGGTGTTTCCAAGGGATGCGATTATTATCGTGAATAGGCCACAGCGGGGTGGCCTGGGCGCCTGGCCTCCCTCACACTGTTGAGATGCGAAGTGTGTTTCTAGCTTCTAAAAAGCAAAATTTTGAAATAACAACAACCTCTTGCCATTTGGGACCATAGCTTTTTTCCCCAACTAAATTACATATTCTTCTCTCAGAGCACAGTCTGAGTTTTATACATTTTGGAATCTCTCAAAGCACCTAGCAGAGCGCTGGGCACGTAACTCCCCTGGGTTTGCTCCGAAGCTGCCATTGACTAAGTAAGGCCTCCGGGGACCACCCCCTCCCCGGCCCGGAGCGCGGCGCTGCTCTTCACCCTCCGGCCGCACGGGGGCGCAATGGGAATCCCACGCGCCGAGGACGAGCGGCCGGAGCCAGTCTTGGCCTTGTGTCAACACGGAGCTGGTGGTGGCTTCGAGGAGGGGCAGGGGACGCCCAGCGGACTCGCGCGCAGTCCGAGGGTATCAGGCGAGGCTCCGCTGCGGACGGGCGACGGGCAGCAATGGCGGAATCGGCGTCGGCTCGGGTAAGGGTCCCCCTGGCGCGGCTCGGGGGCGCGTTCGGGATGGCGGAGCCCCGGGGCGGGGCGGGGTGTCCCCCGGGCGGCCGCTGGCGCCGGTGGGTGCAGATCTGCCCCCCGCGACCCCAGGGCTCTGCCCTCCCCTGTCCGATTCCTTCGGCGTGGGGCCGGAGCCCCAGCGCCTCGCGCCTTCGCCGGGAAACTTCTCTGAGGCTTGTTCCCTGTTCTTGGGTTTGTGACCGTCCCCCACACGTTTTCTCCGTGGTGCCAAAAGAGAGCCCGCTTCCAGGCTGGAGAGGTGGCGCGGGTTGGAAACTCTGGGTCCGCATCGCTGCCGGAGAGCGCGCCGGGTGCGCCGGAGACCCCGGGGGGCGCAGGGCTTGTCCGCGACCAGCTCGTCCTCGGCCATTGTGTTTCGCTGGTTCCTTCTGCCACATTGTCCCGCTACGGACTTCTGTCCGGCGGTCGCAGCCGCAGGTGGAAGTCGGGCTGGGCTTCCTCGCCTAGGGGACAGGTGTTGTCTCCCCGGGTAGTTGCTGGGGTTTGGTTTGCGAAGCTGTCGGGTCTCCTCCAGCCCTCGCAGGACGCAGAGGTCGGGCTGAGGGAAGCCCTGGGCATGGAGGCAGGAAACTGGATTTCAGCCCTAACTCAGCCCTCGGCCACCCAGCCCTGGGCCTCCGATTTCTTCGCTGTAAACTGAGTGTTGGACTAGTTGCTACATGGTCTCCAAGGTTCCTGCCGTCTCTGACATGCTCACGTTATTCGGAAGTAGTGGCTAATTTGATGATCCAAGAGGATGTGCTATGGAAAGGGCAGATGGAACTTAATGTTTTTGTTATTTATTTAGCGAGCGAGCGAGAGAGGAAGGAAAGGACAGAGAGACAGAAACATCCATAAATAAGCTGTTCCACTTATTTATGCATGCATTGGTTGCTTCTTGTATGTGCCCTGAGGGGAGATCGAACCTGCAACCTTGGCGTCTCCTGGTGACACCAGGCCAGGGCTGGAATTTAATTGGTTTTTTGTTTGTTTGCTTTTTTTTTATTATTGATTTTTAGATAGAGAGAGGAAGGGGGAGAGAGAGAAACATTGAGAAACATCGATTCGATGTTCCACTTATTTATGCGTTCATTGGTTGGTTCTTTTTTTTTTTAACACATTGATTTTTTTTTTTTTACCCATTGATTTTTTTTTTTAAGTCCTCACCCGAGGATGTTTTTATTGATTTTAGAGAAGAAGGGAGAGAAAGAGAGAAAAGCATCGATTGGTTGCCTCCCCTACACCCCGACCCTGGGGATCGAACTAGCAACCTTTCCATGTAGGGGATGTTGCTCCACCCAACTGAACCACCCGGCCAGAGCTGTTTGATTCTTGTAGGAAGTAGGTAAGAACTAAGAAGGGAAGGATTGGAAGATTTGGAGAACATGGTGTTCCCTGTCAGGGAAGTACAGCTGAACTGTGGAGACAAGACACAAATGCTCACAGTGTTTATCTCCTCCGACTCCTTTCACTGAGGCGATACAGTCGAAGAGTTGGCTTCTGTTCAAGGCCAAATCAGTGGTGAAGTGGGGCAGGAGGACAAGTTCACCAACTTCCAAAGCACTTTTTCCTCACTGGTCCGTGCACAGGTTCTTACGTCGTCAACAGATGTTTTTAAAAGGAAGCCTTAAAGATCCTGCAGAATTCAAAGCTGTGCTTTGAGTAACGTGTGCATCTGCCTGTGGAGGGTGTGTTAAAATCGCCTTTGAGCATATTTCTTTTTTTTTTTATTGTCGTTCAAGCACAGTTTTCTGCCTTTCCCCCCACCCCTCCCCCATGAGCATATGTCTACTCTCAGACATTTCCTCTTCAGATGAGGACTTGGTACCTCCTCTTTGACAATGTGGCCAAGTAGGTGCCATGATGAAAACTACTAAAAATGCTGGGGGGGACACACAATTATATCTAAAATATATGTTCATAAAGAATACTCGGAGCCCAAAAACAAAGTATAAGAGGGAGCTCTTAAAAGGTAACCAGAGTTCTGCCCTGGCTGGTGTGGTTCAGTGGGTTGAGCACCAGCCTTCGAACCAAAGAGTCACCGGTTCAATTCCCAGTCAGGACACATGCCTGGGTTGGGGGCCAGGTTCCCCGCTGGGGGGGCGTACGAGAGAGGCAGCCACACACTGATGTTTTTCTCCCTAGCTTTCTCCCTCCTTTCCCCTCTCTCTAAAAAGTAAATAAATAAAACCTTAACAACAACAAAAAAGAGGGAACCAGGGTTCTGAAACCAACTTTGAGGGCATTTGCCGAACATTCATCTGTGGTGTTTATGACCTGAGGGGGCGTCCAGGGGGTGTGGGATTCTTCCTGAATCCCACAAAGCTGAGGCTTCAAACGGCAACATTCTGGGTGAGCTGACAGGAAGCTCTTGCCCCCAGGTAGTTGCAGAGAATATTGCATATTTCAAACCTCGGTGCCAAGAGATGGGCGCAAGGTGCCCCCGGAAAACCGCTGACGCCCCAGTGGGTTTACTGCCTGCATTCCTGTGACCTGGATGGTCCAAGAAACCCCAAGCCGAGAACTTAGTTTAAAGTAGAACGTCCAGCTGTCTTTGAAAAACACACACGAGTCTTCTCTGGAGGAGTCTGCATTTAACTCAGACTTCAAATAATTCTCATAGATGGAATTCCAAGAAAAATGAATTCATAACAAGGGAAAAAAATGACCAAACAAACAATGAAAAACTGTGGGGAGCCCTGGCCAGTGTGGAAGACAGCTGGTCCGTGTTTCTCTCTCTCACATTGCTGTCTCTGTCTCCCTCTCTCTCTTCCCACCCCCTTCCTAGCTCTCTAGAATCAATAAACATTAAAAAAAAAAAAAAAAGAAAGAAAAACAGGGAGGAGAAGCCAGTAAAAATAACGGGCAACAAATTTAGACCTTCAAAGATTTCCGATACTGAGAGTCCAGGAGAAGGACATGTGGACAGTCCAGAAGGAGCAGGGACACACACAGCCCGCGCCGGAAGTCCCCACGGATGAGGAGCTAGCAGCCGAGGATATACTGTCGGCTTCGTGCAAACCCCGATCCGTGGAAACCCAGTAGAACCCAATCAGGATAAACAAAAGTAAATCTCTGTCTAAGCACGGGATAATGAAAGCACGATATACGTGGCAGAGGGAATTCTTAAAAGCAGCCAGAGAAAAAAAAAGGCCGATTACCTGTAAGTGAACTGTGGTCAGGCTCTTGGGGTGCACCTTCTCAAAAGCAACAGTGGAGGCGAGGTAACAGGACAGTGATGTCACCAACGGGCTGGGAGAAAGGAACTGTGACCCCAGACTTCTGTAGTCGGCAAAAATAGCTTTCAAAAATAAGGGTAAAGGAGAGATATTTTTAGACAAATTAAAATGGATCGTTTGCTTGCCAGGACACTGTCATGAAAGGAAATTCGAAAGGACATCCTTCAGGTAAAGAGAAATTATTCCAATTAGTGTGAAAAAGTGAGATGGTAATCCGTGAAAATGGGTAACTCGAGCCCTGACCCGTGCGGCCCAGCTGGTTGGGTGTCGTCCCGAAGAGCAAAAGGTCGGCGGATGGATGGATGGATTCCCAGCCAGGCGGGGCAGGCGTGTGCCCGGCCGAGCTCGGCCAGGCCTGGGCGGATGTTCCCTCCCTACCTCCCTCCCTCCCTTCTCTCTAAAAATAAATAAATAACAGCTCAGAAAATAAAAGGGGTAAATCCAAACAAATACTGACCGACTAAAATAGTGATCTCTTGTAGAGTGAAAAACCAAAGCAGAAGCCCTGGCTGGCGTAGCTCAGTGGATTGAGCACGGGCTGCAAACCAAAGTGTCGCAGGTTCGATTCCCAGTCAGGGCACATTCCTGGGTTACAGGCCATGACCCCCAGCAACCGCACATTGATGTTTCTCTCTCTTGCTCACTCTCTCTCCCTCCCTTCCCTATCTAAAACTAAATAAATAAAATCTTTAAAAAAACAAGGCAGAATTAAAACACACAGCATCGCGGATGTAAACCTTGGGAAGGGATGATCAGAATGCAGACGGTTCAAGTCTCTGTGGGTGTGCTCCCTGTGATTCCTAGGGCAGCTGCTGAAGGACAAGAAACGAGCTGCGTAACTTACAGATGACAAGCGGGGTAACAGAACAAGAAAAAATTGTCTAGCCCTGGCCCAGTGGCTCCGCTGGTTGGAGGGTCCTCCTGTAGAGCAAAAGGCTGTGGTTGGAATTCCCAGCAGCGCACACACCTGGGTTGCAGGTTTGATCCTCCCTCCGGGTGCCTGTAAGAGGCAACCAGTTGATGTTTCTCTCTCTCCCCTCGCCCTCCTTGTCCTCCTGCCTCTCTCTTCAAAACAGGGGTGTGAAACTCATTTTCACCGGGGGCGACATCAGCCTCACAGTTGCCTTCAGAGGGCTGAGTGTAACTTTAGGACTGTGTACATGTAACTGCTCCTTACCTAGGGGCAAGGAGCTCCGCGCTGCCGCCGGGTAGAAACAAGGTGCGGGGCCGGATACAACAAGGGCCTTGGGTTTGCCACCTGTGCTATAGAGTATTTGGAAGACGATTGTGGGTTGCAGATTTTTTTTAAACACCTGACATAAAAGTTCAAACCCTAAAAGTATTAATACTGATAAAACTTAATTCCGTTAAAGTTAAGGACTTTATCGAGTGATACTAAAGAGAGTTAAAAAAAGAGAGAGAGAAGATATCTGCTATGTACAAGAATATAACTGACAAAGATTAGCGTCCAGAATTCACAGCCGAGTTCTGGGAGGCAGGAAGGAAGCGCCGGGTAACCCGAAAGGTGAAGGGGTAAGACTTGAACAGGCGGCTCTCCGGAGGGGAGCCGGGCGGCCAGGGAACCCTTCCCTCCTCGGGGGCTTGGTCTCCCGGGTGGGAGAAGCAGCCACAAGGAAGGAGGGGCGCCTTGGGGGGTCGGGACTGAGGGGTGACGGGCGGCTGCAGGGAGACTTCCCAGGGGCTGGTTTTCGTCCCTTTGAGCTTCCGTCACAGTGAGCTTCCTGCCGTCAGGGACAAGACTGCAGAGAGGAGCAGTGTAGGGAGAGTGTCAGAGGACAGCCAGGTCGTTTCAGCGAGTGCCTGTGTGAAGGGTTTAGCGGGTGGCATTTGCATATTGTATTTGCATATTACATTGGCTGCTGGGTGGGTGGGCAAAGCTGAGTGAGTGGCGGCCTGGGGGTCCTGCTGAGGGACTTTATGGTTGGGGGCTGCTGGGAGGTTGCCAGCGAGGGGGGCGTGCCCGCCCATGCAGTCGGACAGCAGTGTGGAGTCTAGAGGAGATGTGAATTAGGTCACTTATGGCGGCAAAATATCCTAAATAGTGCGAAGTATGAAACAGAAAGAAATTCAATTAAAAAAATGAATCCTGCCCTGGCGGAGTGGGGTGGAGCATCATCCTGACACACCAAGGTTGCAGGTCTTGAAAACGTGGAAGCTCGGTACCAGGTCTGAGTGCCGCTGGGCCCTCTGGGCGTGGCGTCCTTCACCTGTCGTGGGCAGCCAGGGGCTGGCTGACGTCCCTGTGTCCGCTTCTTCAGCACAGGAGGAAGCGCCGCGCCACCCCCCTGGCTTCCTCCCCGCCGCCCCCGCCGGCGCCGCCGGAGGACAGCTCCCATGCGCAGCCCACGGAGCTCCCGCTGCAGGAGCTGCCACTGCAGGCCGTGGTGGCCGCCATCCAGGCCGTGGAGAAGAAGATGGAGGCCCAGGCCGCCCAGCTGCAGAGCCTGGAGAGGCGCATGGAGACGGTCGAGAGGAAGCTGGCCGACTTCGAGAAGATGACCTTGGAGTTCGGGAACCAGCTGGAGGGCAAGTGGGCCGTGCTGGGCACGCTGCTGCAGGAGTACGGGCTGCTGCAGAGGCGCCTGGAGAACATGGAGAACCTGCTGAGGAACAGGAACCTCTGGGTGCTGCGGCTGCCCCCGGGCAGCGCGGCCGAGGCCCCCAAGGTAGTCCCTTTACTCAGCTCTCTGTCGCCGGCCCTGCCCGCCTGGCGGAGACGGGGGCACTCACTGTGTGGCCCCTGTGGTTTCAGGTGTCCCGGACACTGGACAGTGACGGCGTCTGTTTCTCGGAGCAGGAGTGGGAGAACCTGGAGGACTGGCAGAAGGAGCTGTACCGAAACGTGATGATGAGCAACTACGAGACGCTGGTCTCTCTGAGTAAGCGGCCGTTCCCTCCCTGGAATTCTCGCCGAGGTCCCGCAGTCCCCGCCCGGGAGGGGTTGAGAAGTGGGGGTCTCCGGGTCCTCTGTGTGTAAGGGTGTTGCTTCTCGGTGGTCAGATCTGATAATATCTACCAGCACATAAGATGCCATTGTCCCATCTTATCTACAGTACAGTTCCTCGTGCGGCTTTTAATGCTTAAGACTCTTTGATAAGAAATCCTTTGTTGCCTGGGATGAGAGAGGCGGCACACGCTAATCAAAAATTGCCCTCTGCCCTGGGCTGGAATCCCAGCCAGTCTGTCTCAGGGTCTATGTTTGTGTCGATTGGGAGTCTGCTTAATATACAGGGTCCGGCACGATGGATAAGGTCTGTTTTTATTACAAAATCGTAGCATGTCATTCTGTCACATAACACGGTCGCACTCAAGCACACCACGTGGCATTTTGGGTGAAGCATTCAGATTAAAACCGTAAGGCATCACACCGACCACACTACCGACCACACTCACGCAGGCCTCCCTTCTGCCGGACCCTGCACCTCCTGGTGTGCAGCGTGCCTGCTCTCATGTTGTACGCGCGTGTTGTCTGGTAGACAGAATCTTTGACAGCCCAGGCCCATGGAGGCTTGTCAGGAAGGCCACGGGAGCCGAGCGGAGGAGGGAGGAAAGTAGCGAGTGGGTCAGAGCGCTCACAGCGACCTCTGCTGGGTCACTGCTGCCCTGGCTGGGACAGGCAGGGCCAGGGCCTGCCTGAGCCTCAGTGCTGTGGCGCAGGTGAAACCAGACCCCGAGGGGAAGCAGCACGTGAGGCCATGGACGCGTGAGGGCACGGCCTCACGGCTGTTGGGGAGGTGAGGGGTGGGCTCCTGCAGCCGGAGCCACAGGTGGCTGATGCAGGGGGAGCCCCGAGGGGCTGGTAGCCGAGTGCATCAGCTGTAATTTCCTGACTGTCCCAGACCTCCAGGGGAGGTGACGAGAACAGTGCTTTGAACCTTACAAAGTTTTAATATTGACTCCTTGACACTGGTCACCTCGTTCATGGGCAAATGACCAGTGCGCCATGTGGTTTTACTCCCCTGGGCTCACACTGTGCTATTTCCGACCCAGAGGTCCTTGGCCAGCCGGAAGGAGAAGCGGAGCTGGGCACGGAGATGCTGGGTGACTTGGAGGAGGAGGGCCTCAGTGGTGTCCACCCAGGTGAGCGGCTCCAGAATGTTCTGCTCCCCCTCCCACTGCCTGCGGCCCGTCGCGGACTCTCCCTGAGTGGCCGAACTGCCGAGCACCGATTACCAGGAGCCTCCTGGGGCGGTGGCTTGTTCCAGGCTCTTCTCTGATGGCTGTTCATGTTCGGCTGTCCCATGGGCGTCCTAGCTCCTCACCGCTGCGTGGGACCCTTGAGGTCCACGACCATGTCGGACCTCCTCGTGCCCGCGGAGGAGCGGACGTAACAGACCAGCGCCAACCCACAGAGCGCTCAGAACAGGGCCGGTTGGCCTCGGGGGTGAAGCCGGCCGGGCGAGAGACAGGAAAGGCGGTCGTAAGCTGGGTTGTTGGGCAGGAGGGGACAGAGAGGACAGGGTTGAGAGCATGAATTTTTACGCTGTAGGTTTAGGGTTTTTTTTTTTTCATCTTTCTTATTTATTACTGTAACACTCCTAAATTAGTGTAGTTTTTCAGTATATTGAGCCACTTTTCAGAGATTAAATACAAATTGGTGGACAAGCTTGGAGAACTTTCATTTATAACATTGTTTTATAAGAATAATATATTCTGCCCTGGCTGGTGTGGCTCAGTGGATTGAGCACTAGCCTGCAAACCAAAAGGTCACTGGTTTGATTCCCAGTCAGGGCACTTGTCTGGATTTTGGGCCAGGTCCCGAGTAGGGGGCGTGTGATATATCTCTCACATACATCAACACATCGATGTTCCTCTCCCTTCTCTCTAAAAATGAATAAATAAAATTTTTTTAAAAAAAGAACAATGTATTCAGATTTCCGATCAACATGTCTCTACCTGAGTAAAGGTTTCACTTTCTGGGTTTGGGAAGCCAGCCAGTCTCTTCATTCTCCAAATTGTTCCGATTCCCTTGGTCCTTTGATGTGAGCCCTTCTGGAATTCACAGACGTGCGCCTGGCTCGCAAGGTATTAGAATGTGATCCTTTCTCGTTGGTTCTCTTTGTCTCGGCAGCCGGAGGCATTATGATCAAGCAGGAGATAGAGTCCCCGCAGAGACAGGAGCCTTCCGAGGACCTCCCCGGCGAGTTCCCGGGCATGACGGAGGAGCAGGCCTTCCTGACCCCGGTGCCGACTGAGCTCTGGAACGGCCAGGGTGCCTCTGTCCTCTTGGAAGCAGACCCCAGGGACACGAACCTCGAGGAGCCCACGGACGGCAGCAGAGGCCCCGGCGGTGACAGAGCTCCGGGCTGCCCCCCGAAGCAGAAGCCCAGCAGGCCGGTGCAGCTGGGCCAGGAGTGCGGGCAGGGCCTAAAGCTACAGAGGGACCTTCCGGGCCCCTTCGAGTGTCCCGAGTGCGAGCTCAGCTACCGCTGCGAGCAGCAGCTGGCCACCTATCTGCGGACCCACGCGGGGTGGGAGCCTCCCACGGCGCCGGAGCCGGAGCCGGAGCCGGAGGAGAGCCTCAGGCCCAGGCCGCGGCTGAAGCCCCAGTCCAAGAGGACGAGGCAGCATCAGTGTGACATTTGCATGAGGAGCTTCAGCTGCAGGGTGAGCCTGGTGACCCACCAGCGCTGCCACCTGCAGGAGGGGCCCAGTGGCGGCCAGCGCGTCCAGGAGAGGTTCTCGCCCAACAGCCTGGTCGCCCTGCCGGGCCACATCCCCTGGAGGAAAAGCCGGAGCTCCCTCATCTGCGGCTACTGTGGCAAGAGCTTCAGCCACCCGTCGGATCTGGTGCGGCACCAGCGCATCCACACGGGCGAGCGGCCCTACACCTGCCCCGAGTGCGAGCGGAGCTTCGTGCAGAAGCAGCACCTGCTGCAGCACCAGAAGATCCACCAGCGCGAGCGTGGCGGGCTGGCTCTGGAGCCCGGAAGGCCCAATGGCCTGCTTTAAGGGTGCCAGCCCCTCGCCTGTTCCGGGGGGGCCGAGGGGGCTGGCATTGGTCTCCCGAAAAGACACTGTGCAGAGTCAGGGACTGGCTTCTTCCTGGGGGGAGTCGCTTTGATTTGCCTAACCTTGGCCGAGCAGCGGGCCCAGCGAGCCCCCGAACTGTGTGGAGCGGGGCGGGGCCAGGCCTCCCCTGCTGTCTGCCCTGCTGCTGGGCTTGCCACGTCTTTGGGTTTCCCATCCACACCGTTGATGCCCGAGGTCTGGGGTCGGTTCGAGGGCCCGGCCCAGCGTTCCAGGTCTTCCCGCGGGGCGGGGCCTGGCCGGGGGCGGGAGCCGGCCTGCTGAAGAGCTCCGGGAAGCACAGCCCTCTGTTTCCCCTTCTGTAGTCCCCTTATTAACAACAAGTAGAATGATAATTTAAAGGAGCGCTCACCCTGCTCTGGAGAACCTTTCTGGAATTAGATTTTAGTTGATTTAAAAAAGTAACATACAGCCCAACACTTGTTTTTTAAGTTTTCAGAGCTGTAGAGGCTGTTTCTCACACGGCTTCTGGCCTGCCATGGGGGGGGGAACTGTTTCTGGGGCTGTTTTAGCCCCCCGCCCCACCACACTCAGGCCAGGGGTCAGGGGCGTGGCACGGCTCCGGGTCCTGGGGGTCTCAGCACTCTGGGAGGGGGCTCACTGAATCAAAAGGACCGAGAGAGGGAGAGAGCTGTAGGGCTGGACCCCCGAGCGCCCCCCTGAGAACGCAGAGCCTGGTTCGGAGCGGTGCACACGGAGCCGCTTCCTCCCGGGAGCTGGGGGTTCTCGCCCCGGCTCCGGCCCTTCCTTCCCGCCCCTGCCGGGTTCCGGGCCGCACGGGGTACGCGACTCCCCTGTTACTGAAGGTCGTCCCGCTCGCATAGTGGTTATTTGAGTTCGCTCCTGGAGGTCGTTCGGGTGACACGCTTTTCCAGGTTAGTTCCGGGACTGACCGCTGCGGAGCCGACGCGGGGGCCAAAGCGCAGGGCTGCCCGCCGGCCGGGGGTGCCGGGTGCCCGCCGCGCTGCTGTGCGGGGTGGGCTCCCGGCTCCTGGGTGAGTGTCCCCTTCGATGGCAGTTGCTTAGAATAAAAGTTGCTACTGGCAAAGGAAAAGCGCTCGTGTCGGTTTTTTCCCCGGTGTCAAGAACTGTGCGGGAGCAAGGGAGAGGCGGCCTCCGACCTGGAGCGGCCCCGGAGGCCTGGTCGGGACCTGGGGCAGACGGGAAGGGCGCGTGTTCGGGACCCTGTGCGCGCGGGTCCAGGGCTGCAGACAGTCCGGGTGTGGGCTGTTGGGAGGCAGCAGGGGGAGAGGCCAGGGCGCCAGGGGGTACTGGGGAGCAGTTGGGGGTACTGGCTTCAGTGCTGCACTGTGGATGCGCGGTCCCGTGCCCCGACCTTAAACCTGCGGTGCTGGGCGGGGATGTGAGAGATTGAATGAGATCCACGACAAAACCATTTATGTCCACAGAACAGAACAGAGACGACAAGTGACACATTAAAGGCATTGCAGTCACGTGTGGGAGGAGGGAGTGGGATATGGGGATAAAAGGAACAAAGAAAATAAACAGATACGCCCCGGCTGGTGTGGCGCGGTTGGTTGGGTGTCATCCTACGAGCAAAGTGAAAGGTCACCGGTTCGATTCCCAGTCAGGGCACGTGCCCAGGTTTTGAGTTCGGCCCTCAGTTGGGGTGCCAAAGGCGGCAACCAGTGGATGTTTCTCTCTCACATTGATGTTTCCCTCTCTCCCTACCTCCCCCTCTCTCTAAAAATAAATAAATATTTTTTAAAATTTTATTTATATTCAGAGAGAGGGAAGGGAGGGGGGTAGAGAGGAGAGAAACATCCATTGGCTGCCTCGCCCAGGCTCCCAACCGGGTACCTGGCCTGCAACCTAGGCGTGTGCCCTGACCGGGAAGTGCACCAGTGACCTTTCAGTCCGTGGTCTGGGCGCTGCAGCCCACAGTGAAGTCCCTGGTGTCCAGGATGGACTCGAAGTCCTCGTTACCCGCAGCGCGTGTGGCGTCTGGTGCGGCGGCAGCCCCTGGGAGCCCGGCGAGCGGAAATGCAGGCTCAGAGCCGCCGCGTCGGAATCCGCACTTTCACCAGAGCTCGGGGTCATCTCTGCACACACAGGCGCCGTCCTTGAGTGACACAGACCATCAGCCCCGTGCCCCTTCCACCCCTGCACGGGGAGCCTGCTCGGCCAGGTGCTGGGAAGAAAACGGGAAGCGGGACTGTCTGAAAGCCAAGGCTGATCCAACTAGCAAGAGTCAAGTCAACACCCAGGGCAGGATGAATGCGGAGCATTAGGGGCTCCTCTGGCCTATCTCCTTTCTCCCGCCCTAACAGCGGGGGTCCTCCTCGTCACCCCCTGAACTACTACTCGGCCTCACCGGCCTCCTCCCTCTCCTCGCTCCTGTTTGCTCCCAGAGTTCCTGCCCGGAACACAAACTGGATGCGGGCTTTCCCCAAAGCCTCGCGGTGCATCCCGCCGGCCCTGCTCAAGGGCCAGCTTTCTAGTGTAGAACCCTCGACTCCGACAACCTAACCTCCTCTGAGTTCCGCCAGCTTCCACTCTCGTCTCAACCACCTAAGCGGCCCCCGCAGGGACTTGTCCACGCACCACAGTACTTCCCCATGTCCACATTCAGCGCCTGCGTCCCCTCCCGGGAAGGCCTTCCCCGCGAACCAAATTCTGTTTCTCTTTCCACTGTTGAATTTGTAACCTCCTTCTGTGAAAGCTTCCTGCATTTTTTTTTTAATTCAACAACTATATATACTGAGCACCTATTTTCCAGGCGCTGTTTTAAATGCTTAGAGATACGTCAGGGTACAAAGTGCTTTGCCCTAGTGAAGTTCTACCAAAATCCATTTCTCCCCGTGCTGCGCATTTGCACAGCCCTTTCCTGGACGAGCTGCATATTCCGTCTGCCTGCCAGTCTGTTCACTCACTGATACGAGTGGCCTCTGTGTGCAAAGTCTACGGAGGGAACAAACAAGGGGAAATCAAGCCCTGGCTGGGGTAGCTCAGTGGATTGAGTGTGGGCTGCGAACCAAAGTGTCACAGGTTCGATTCCCAGTCAGGGTACATGCCTGGGTTGCAGGCCACGGCCCCCAGCAACCGCACGTTGATGTTTCTCTCTCTCTCTCTCTCTCTCCCTCCCTTCCCTCTCTAAAAATAAATAAATAAAATCTTTAAAAAAATATTAAGCACAATTAAAAAAAACAACAAGGGGAAATCAGAGATTCTGCTGATGGGGTTTCTGGGCTGTCAGGGGAATCTAATGCAAGGTAGAACATTATATGCCCTAAGTGAGGCTAAAGGCCTAAGAATTCAGAGAACAATTACATGTGCTTCTGGGACGTTGGGGAAGGCATGATGGGAGGTGATTTTTGAACCGGCCCTCTGAAGACGGGAAGAAGACATTCCAAATGGAGCAACATGGCCCAAATAGGAGACACTGTGGGTGTGTACAGATAAACGCCAGTTCATTTAATTTGTCCATGGGGGTGTCCCACCTTGCGGCCTGTGAGCTGTGCACAGCCCAGAATAGTTGTGAATGCGGCCCAACACAAAACTGTACGTTTATTTAAAACCCCCTTTTTTTTGTTCATCAGTTTTTGTTTGTGTTTGTGTATTTAGCATATGGCCCAGGACAACTATTCTTCCAGTGTGGCCCAGAGGCGCCACACGGTGGGACACCCCTTTAGAGGGTGGGGTGTGAGAAGGGGGGATGGGGGCGTGGTTAGAAAGAGGTTGAGGTCAGGCTAAGGGGTTTGGATTTTACTGAGTTAGTAATGGGGAGCTGAGAGGTTTTTTTTTTTTTTAAGGAAACTTAATTTCTTTTTCTTTAAAGATTTTATTTATTTATTTTTAGAGAGGGAAGGGAGGGAGATAGATAGATAGAGAGAAGCATCAATGTGCGGTTGCTGGGGGACCTGGCCTGTAACCCAGGCATGTGCACTGGCTGGGAATCAAACCTGTGACACTTTGGTTCGCAGCCCGTGCTCAATCCACTGAGCTACGCCAGCCAGGGCAAGTTGAGAGTTTTGAGCAAAAGCGTGGCCTGATTCTAGCTGTGATTTGGGAATATTAATCTAATAAGTGTTCTGTCAGGCTTTTTTCTTGTTTTGGGGGTGGAGGGATGTTAGAAGGTTCTTGAGTGAGACCAGCAAGAGCCAATAAGAACCCCGACCCAGTGTGACTCAGTTGGTTGGGCGGCATCCTGCAAAGTGAGAAGTTGCCGGTTCGATTCCCAGTCAGGGCACGTGCCTGGGTTGCGGGTTCAGTCCTTGGTTGGGGTGTGTATGAGAAACAACTGACCGATGTATCTCTCACACATTGATGTTTCTCTGCCTCTCTTTCTCCCTCCCTATCCCTCTCTCTAAAATAAATAAATACAATCTTTAAGAAACAAAGGCCCTGACCGGGTATAGCTGCAGTAGGAAGAGAAAGGTGGACAGGAGAGATGGACAAGATCGACAAGGTGGCGTCAGCAGGAGGTGACACTTTCTGAAGGCAGGGACCGTGTCTTCACCGTATCCAGACACCCGACTCCAACCACAGGGGCTCTGCTCACAGGCACTCACCACGCATTTACCGAATGAGCCGCCATGAGGGGAATTCACAGGATGGGGAGCCCCACGTTGCCGGGACGAGGGTGGGCTTCTAGGAGGAAGGGGGCCTTGGTTCCACTTCAGGCCTCCCTCTGCTAATACTTTCCCTCCTCAGCTTTACCCACCTGGGCGGGTCCGGCTGAAAAAACGGATACTTTCTCTAGGTGCACCTCTGACATTTGGGGCAGGGTTAGGAAGTGCTACTTCAAGGTAACAAGGGACCAAATCAATATAAGGCATTGTTCATCGAGAAATCCCTTGTTGAAGTACCGCACGCAGCCTAACAATCAGGCAAGTGAGCTCTAAAGGTGCTAAGAGGATCCCTACTGTGGGCCCTGAGAAGGAAGATTCATTTGCTGCGAACCCGAGACAGAATTTATCTGCGGAGACGGCTTTCTGGTCAGGCTGAAGGCCCAGCTCATAAATAACACGAGCCCAGCGGCCGTGTGCTGACCGGGCTCCTCGCAGACGCTATGCACCAGGGGAAACCCCGGGCTGGACGCTGAGTGTCCCGCGCTCTCCCCCTGCTTGTCTGCGCTGAGTCGCCCCCTGCAGGGAAACCCCGGAATCACCTTCTGTTAACGGACTGAGACCCTCCCTATCAGAACTGCAGGAAGGATGTCTCGCACGGAAAGGACCCAACTGAGAGCCTGGGCGGGGACGTTCACCGAGGAAAATGACCTTCCCTCTGTCCTGGCGGGACCCAGTTTGGGTTGCCCCCTTAGAACGTGTCTCCAGGGCTGCTGCTCCTTTTGGCTCAAATAACTGCCCCCTTTTTTTTTTTCACTCATTACTACAGGCTAAAATTAATTGTGGTTTACACTAGGAGCTCATCAGGAATCGGTCAGATCAAATATTTCAAGGATTTTAAAATGCTGGTAAGGCGTGATCTTAGAAAATAAGAATTCACACGCAGTGCAGACGGAAGAGCTTGCGGGCTTGTTGGACAAAGACCCTAAGGTGAATGGGTAGTGCAGAACACTCGGAAAATAAAACTTACACTGCATACGGCACACTTCACGTTATATTCAGTGATCAGTGTTCCACCGTAAGACTTTTTACAAATGAGGAAGGGTGGGTCCTGGATTTTAATAGGGGACTTAAGAGTTTACAACTTTTAGTTGAATAGCTAAAAGCTTAGTAATCAGTGCAGGTAAAAGCTATTGCTCCAGGAACTAAAGGTGGGACCCGCCCTGACTCCAGGAGACCTTGGGCAGTCCCACCTTTGTTCCTCAGGAGGACTGCCAACAGTTCAAGGTGATATCTGAGCCTTTGTACTGCAGGGGGAGATGACCACCGCCCAGCACACAGCCAAAGACTACCGCCTGGGGCACAGCTTAAGACCACCGCCTAGGGCAAGAATGCTGAAGTTTTTTGTTTTTTTTTTTTTTAAGTCCAATTAACTTTTCCCTGAATTCCAAACCCCTTACCTACACTTCGTTCTCCTTATAAAAAGAGCCATTTTAAGCCCTGGCTGGCATAGCTCAGTGGATTGAGCACGGGCTTCGAACCAAAGTATCGCAGGTTCAATTCCCAGTCAGGGCACATGCCTGGGTTGCAGGCCACGGCCCCCAGCAACCGCACATTGATGTTTCTCTCTCTCTCTCTTCCCACCCGCTTCCCTCTCTAAAAATAAATAAATAAAATCTTTAAAAAAAGCCATTTTCAAATGGAATTTCAGATGGTCTGTTAGGGTATGAACCCACCATCTTCTCAGATCGCCGGCCATCTGTATAAAGCGCCCATAAAGATTCAATCCCTGTCCCTGCTAATTGGGTCTGGTAGTGACAGGCAGACCAGACTCCAGAGTCTTTTCCGGTTTCAGTTTATCCAGAATGCTCCAGGACCTGGATTTGCTTCCGCTGCAAGCCCATCCCAGAGCAGAGCTGCGAGCATCCCGGGTGGCGGCTGCTGTGCAAAGGAAGAGTGGATGTTGTTGATGTAGGAAAATGTGTGAACCTGTAGAGAATTTGTATGAGTTTATCCGAGCCAAACTGACAGCAATCGTCTGGAAGCAAAGTCTCAACCCACTGAGAAAAGCTCCAGAGAATGGCAGTTCTGCACCTTGTTTTATATGTTATAATCAAAGGAGGAGGCGGGAGGGCTTTCGGGAAATCCGCATAAGTGGGAGAAAGCTAAGTGGTGAAACCCTCTGGGATCCAATACAAAGTAAAATGAATAGACAGACTTCTTTTGCATAGGTGGGTGCGACACAGTTACCAGTCAACAATTAACATGATAACAATACAATGAGGGGCTGTGTGGTCTCCAGTACAGGGAGGGGTGCAGAAAAAAGGACATCACCCTGCCATTCCAGAGGAATGTTATCTTAGATAAAAAAGGACAATAGACGCTCAGTTAAAGTGAAGATTGTCCTTTGTCAGGGGAGATAAGGGCCTAGGACACGACTACCTTTCCTAACTCACTTTCAGTTACAGAGTTTTCATTTCAGACCACCCTACTGTGGTTACTTTAGGTCTCTCAGTTCCTGGGGCTCAGGGGCAGACCTCCACACAGCTTGTCAGTTCTAGCTTGTAGCCTCCCTTTTTTGGTCCACAGCGTGGCTCCGAGGACTTCTGGGGTTCTGCTGGGAGGTAGGCCGCAGGGTACTGGGAGGAGACTCGGGATTTGCAAAGCGTTTTGGGGGAGAGAGGGAAGATTTCTTCTGTTTTTGTTTGTTTGTTTGTTTTGCTTTGTTTCTAATGAATTAAATTTTCATGGGGTCTTTCTACTTATTATGGAAAATTGAAAAAAAATTTTTTTAAAAACCTTTATCCAGCCCTGGCTGGCGTAGCTCAGTGGATTGAGAGTGGGCTGCGAACCAAAGCATCGCAGGTTCGATTCCCAGTCAGGGTACATGCCTGGGTTGCAGGCCACTGCCCCCAGCAACCGCACATTGATGTTTCTCTGTCTCTCTCTCTCTCTCTTTCTCCCTCCCTTCCCTCTCTAAAAATAAATAAATAAAATCTTTAAAAAAACCTAAAACTTTATCCACAGCCCATGTTTTTTCCTGGGCATCGAGCTGTCCCTTTGAAACGGGAAAATACACTGGCATCTGGGCTGCCTGTCACTACCAGACCCAAAAAGCAGAGACAGGGATTGAATCTTTATGGGCGCTTTATTCAGATGGCCAGCGATCTGAGAAGACGGCGGGTTCATACCCTATCAGACCGTCTTAAATTCCATTTTAAAACCGCCCTTTTTATAAGGAGAACGAAGTTTAGGTAAGGGGTTTGGAATTTAGAGAAAAGTTAATTGGATTAAAAAAAAAACCCAGCTTCAGCATTCTTGCCCTGGGCGGTGGCCTTAAGCTGCGTCCTGGGCGGTGGTCATCTCCCCCTGGGGCACAATGGCTCAGATGTCCTCTTGAACTGTTGGCAGTCCTCCTGAGGCGCAAAGGTGGGACTGCCCAAGGTCTCCTGGAGTCAGGGCGGGTCATGCCTTCAGTCGCTGGAACAAAGCTTTTACGTCCGTTGATTACTAAGCTTATTAGCTATTACTTAAAATAAAATTGTCCAGCTCTTAAGTCCCTATCACCTTCCGGTGCAGCAGAGGCCTTAGGACGGAGACCACACGCCCTTGAGGTTGGGGGCGAGGACTGCGCTCTTGCCCCGCCGCCGTGGGGCGAGGGGGGCTCCCAAAGCGTGGGGAAGTCTGCGCGGTCCCTGTATCAGCGCGGGGCTCCATTCCCGGGCGCGGGGCCCGCCGTCCCGCCATCCTGCAGAGGATACGCGCCCGCCCGACGGCGCCGACTCCCGCGGCCCAGGCGGGGCGGGCGGCCCACACCCACGCCGCGCCCCGGGTGGCCCCCGCGGCCGCGGGGACGCAGGGACGCTGGGCCGCGGGCCGCGCGCGCGCGGTCCTTCGGGCTGCAGGGGGCGCTGCGCGCGGCCTCGGGCCGGGCCGCGAGCGCAGCTCTTGTTTAAAGGGCCGGCGCGGCACGTGGCTCGGACGCAGCTCGCGGCCGCGGGGCAGGGGCTCCGAGGCTGGGCGGCTCCGCTCCGCTCCGCCTCCGCCCGCGCGCCCGCCAGGCCTGACAACCGCCCGAGCGGAGCGGCCGAGAGAGGGACTCCAGCAGCCATGGCCGAGGCGGCGCCCGACCGGGTAAGCGCCCCGCCGGGCCACCCTCGTTCGCGTCCGCGTTCGCGTCCGCGTCCGCGTCCGCGCCGCTTTCGGGCCGAGCGACCGGGCGGCCCAAACGCCAGGCCCGGCGGGCGGCCCAGGCGTCGGGGACCGGCCCGCGTTCCTGTAGCACTTTAGGTGACAGGCCGCGCGTTTGAACGCACGGGCCGGCTCCCCGCCCATTGTCTCACTGGAGGCCCTGCGCCCCGAGGCGGGTGGGGAGGGCGGGGAGGGGGTCGAGGCCAGGCCAAGGCTTTGGAATTGCACCCCCTTTACGGCACCCAGTGTTCTGCGTGTACCTAGGACAGTGCTATTGAGTGAAGGCTGTTTACAAGAGGGTTTGGAGGTGTGTCTGGGGGGGGGGGCAGTTTAAGATTACTTTAGCACATTTTAGAATATTGGCTGATAATGTTCTGTATGCACAAATCAGATAAAGCGACCCTTCTGCCGTTTGGCTCCAGACATGGTTATCTGCTGTTCTCAGTGCGTGCCAGTGGTGTAGGGTTGTCGGAACCCTGGTTTTTCCAGATGCCCCGGCCCTTTCCCTTAGGTCTGAGGGTGGGGAGCGGGGTGGGGGACATGGGGTGGCAGTTCTCCAGGCTTATGGCCCTGCCCGCTGGGGGGAACCTTTCTCTAGCTGTTCAGGTGACATCTTCAGCTCCCACCTGGCCCAGGACCTCAGCGGTCTTTCTGACTGTCCCTCTCCAATCTGCTTCTTTCCCTCTGTCCACTTGCATCCCCCAAGATTCCGAGAAAAGCTCCCCAACGGGACTGATTTTCCCTCAACTCTTGTTAGCCTGTGGGTGCCACCCTCGTTTGTTATGACTGTTTCTATACAGAAGTTTTCTCCTGGAGAAGGGAGGAAGAACCCTGCCCCTCTCCTGCATCCCCGCTGTGCCTTCACGCCGACAGGTGTCCAGTGGTGGTTCACGAGTGTGTCGTTGAATTGTTTCGTCATCGTTCACTCAACGGGCATTGATTGGGCGTCCGCTGTGAGTGAGGCCCTCCTGGACGCTGGGGACACAGCGGTGACCAGCGCCTGCACCCTACACATGGCGCTTATGTCCTCATGGGGGAACCGAAGCCCCAGGCACGCACGCAGAGTTGTCACGGGTTATCCGGGCTGCGGAGGTAGGGACTGACAGAGCCCTGACTGACATGCGAAGGTCCTTGTGAGGCAGTGTCTGCGCTGGGGGTTTGCGGGAGAGGGAGCCCGTGCAGTGGTGGCGGGGAGCTGGGCGTGTCTGAGGAGCCCGAGGAGGCGGGGTGGCTGGAGAGCGGTCAGTGCCCGGGAGGAGACTGCCTCGGGGAGATAGGCCGCAGCCTGAGAAGAGGTTCAGGTTTTATTCTGGGCCCGCTGGGGAGCTGAGGACAGCATGGTGTCGGGGAGGAGGAGGAAGTGGGGAAGTCGCTGGGCAGGATCTTAGCCGCCCAAGCGACCATTGAGGGGGCTTGGACGAGACGATGGTGGTGGAAGAGGAGAAAAGGGGACAGAGGGCCAAGATGTCAGTTTGTCACTCCAGCAAGGCTTTCAGCGAGATGAGCTGGGTCGGATACCCTCGCACGTGCCCGGGGGCGTTTGTGGTCAGGCACCGCGGCGTGCTGAGAGGCGCTTCCGAAACCCTTGTCCAAGGCGCCGCATGAGAGCGGTGCCGCCGCCGTCTGCCCTGGTCCTGCCGCGTCCCCGAGCCAGAACGGTCCCAGCCTCCACATGCTCATCACCAGCATCTCGGCTGGGTCAGCACAGGCTGGGTCAGCACAGCTCAGGCTCACTGAGGAGCACGGGCTGGACCAGGGCGTCCAACCGGCAGCCCGCGGGCCTCATGCAGCCCAGGGTGGCTGTGAACTCAGCCCAACGCAATATCGTAAACTTACTTAAAACACGATGAGGTTTGTTTTGTGATCGCGTGTCGCAGTGTGTTTAATGTGTGGCTGAAGACAACATTCTTCTTCCAGTGTGGCCCGGGGACCCCAAGAGGTTGGACACGGTGGTAGACACTGTGCTGAGTGCTGTTTACCAAACGGTGTTACTAAGTAATTCTCACAGCCGTGTCAGGTAGACACTGCTGCTAGCTCCATTTTCTAGATGCGGAGGGGACGCCGAAAGATGTCTGAGAAACCTTGCCCACAGTTGGCCAGCAGGCGAGGGGCAGAATTGCGGGTGGGACCCAGGCTGGCTGAATGCAGAGTTCATGTTCCCTGTGCCTCATGCAAAGCCTGTCCCTTCCCTTTCGGAGGAGACTCAGGCTCAGGCAGGGAGTCACCTGTCCGGGAGCGCACATACTTCTCTCTCTGGCCGTGTTTTTCCTTCTGTTTCCCACTGGCTAGTAGCTTGGTGCAGCCAGTGTCTCCTGTCCCTGAGGCTGGACTTGTAACTGATGTTCCCACGTCCCCACCCCCCACACAGCTGCCTGACTGGCCCTCGGGTTTCTTTGTGAGGTAGGCGTTCCGACTGTATGATCCCAGTAACGTGTGTCCTTTCTCTCCTTGCGGACAGGCCCCAGAGAGGGACAAGCACGCAGGGGACGCAAGGCCTTCCACACCTCCTCCCTCGCCCCGGCCGGCCGCCGAGAAGGACTCGTACCTCTACTCCACGGAGATCACGCTGTGGACCGTGGTGGCCGCCGTCCAGGCCGTGGAGAAGAAAGTGGACTCCTGCCTGGCCCGCCTGCTGGCTCTGGAGGGGCGGGCGGGGACGGCCGAGAAGAAGCTGGCCGACTTCGAGAAGACGTCCTCAGAGCTGGGGGACCAGCGGGAGGGCAAGTGGGCCGTGCTGGGCACGCTGCTGCAGGAGTACGGGCTGCTGCAGAGGCGCCTGGAGAACATGGAGAACCTGCTGAGGAACAGGAACTTCTGGGTCCTGCGGCTGCCCCCGGGCAGCAAGGGGGAGGTCCCCAAGGTAACCCGGGGCACCTGCGGTGGGACGGTCCGAGGGGCCGTGCCTGTCAGTGTGGGCGATCGTGCGTGACGCCTGTGGTTCCAGGTGCCCGTGACCTTTGACGACGTGGCCGTGTACTTTTCCGAGCTGGAGTGGAGCAGGCTGGATGAGTGGCAGAAGGAGCTGTACAAGCACGTGATGAGGGGCAACTACGAGATGCTGGTCTCCCTGGGTGAGGTCCCGCAGTGGCGTCCGGGCCTCTGTGCACACATTGGCTTCCTGCTGTCTGTGTCTTTGCTTCGGCTCCTGCGTCTCTGGAGTGTCTGCGTCTCGGTGGTGGTCCGAGCGGCAGGGGCCCGTCCTGACCCAGCTCCCTGTCTCCGTTCTGTACACAGATTACGCCATCTCCAAACCGGACATCCTCACCAGGATGGAGAGGGGAGAGGAGCCTTGTCCTGAAGGCCTGTGGGGTCAGGACGAGGGGCAAGAGAGAGAGGCAGCTCGCCCGGAGAGGCCGGGCACTGGTGAGTGGGAGCGAGATGGGCGGGGCAAACGGAGCCGTGTGCCTGTCCTCCCGGGCTTCCCAGGCGGGCTGTGAGGTCCGGAAGGGAGCGCAGGCCCGTGACCTGAGGTGGGGCACACCCTAGCCCAGGCTGTCCGGTCAGGGGTGGGCACCGGGCTTAAGGGCCCTAGGGTTTCCACCTCTGTGTAAGCAGGTGCACAGCCTGGTGGTGGTGAGGACTCCATGGGATGGCAGGCTTTGTAAAGCTGAGTGTTTTATAGTAGGTGGGGACTCACTACTAACAGTGCCGCTAGTAGCCGCAGCAGCAGCAGCCCTGTTAGCGCCACCTCCTGGTTCCCGTCCGCCTCTGCTCCCGCCTGCATAATGTGCGGCCCTGGGGCCTGGAACACGCTGGCGTCCCTGAGTGGAAATGGCCCACGGGAGCCCGGGGCTGGCCTCATTCCCACAGCGGGTCTGTGTGGAACTGTGCTTCCAAACTTGACCTCATATCAGAATCTTATGGGGGGCTTTTTTTTTTTTTAATAAAAAATTTTAGTCATTGTTACTGTATAAAAATGCAACTGATCTTTCTGTGTTTACTTTTCTTATCCTGCTAATTTGCTGGATTCGTTTATTAGTCCTATTATCTTTGGTAGATTTTCATTCTTTTCTACATATATGATCGTATCACCTGTGAACAAATAATTTTCTTCCCTTCCAATTTGGATGCCTTTTATTTCTTTTTCTTGTCTAATTGCTCAGGCCAGAACTTCCATCACTTTGTTGAATAGAAGTGGGGGAAGTGGACGTTCTTGCCTTGTTCCTAGTCTTCCAGGAAAAGCCTTCAGTTTTCCACCATTAAGTGTGGTGTTCACTGTGGGTTTTTAACACATGGCTTTTATTACGTTGAGGTCGCCTTTTCTGTGCCTGCTTTGTTGAGTGTTTCTATCAGGTAAAGGTGTCTAATTTTGTCAGATACCTTTTCTGCATCAGTTGATGTAATCTTGTTTTTTTTTTCCCCCTTCATTCTGTTCATAAAGTGTAGTCCACTGATCTATGTTCATCCATTGAGTCACCCTTGCATTCCAGGAACAAACTCCATTTGGTCAAGGTGTTGAATCCTCTTAATGGGCTGCTGATTTTGGTTTGACAGTATCTTGTTGCGGGCTTTTATTTCGGTGTTCACAAGGAAAATCGGTCTGTGGTTCTCTTGGAGTGTCTCTGAGGCTTTGGTAACCGTGTGGTTTTGATGGTACCTCTTATTGTGAGTGTGGTTGCATATGTATATATTTTTTAAGATTTTATTTATTTATTTTTAGAGAGGGAAGGGAGGGAGAAAGAGAGAGAGAAACATCAATGTGCGGTTGCTGGGGGCCATGGCCTGCAACCCAGGCATGTGCCCTGACTGGGAATCGAACCTGCGATGCTTTGGTTCACAGCCTGCGCTCAATCCACTGAGCTATGCCAGCCAGGGCTTGCATATCTTATTTGTTTATGGGCCCTTTTAATTTCTTTTTTTTTTAACTATTTTTTAAAGTTATTTATTTATTTTTAGAGAGAGAAGGGAGGGAGATAGAGAGAGAGAGAGAGAGAGAAACATCAATGTGTGGTTGCTGGGGGTTATGGCCTGCAACCCAGGAATGTACCCTGGCTGGGAATCGAACCTGCGACACTTCGGTTCGCAGCTCACGCTCAATCCACTGAGCTACGCCAGGGCCCAGCCCTTTTAATTTCTTATTCTGTGAAATATTTGTTCTTCTGTTTTGCCCTAGGAAGCTTTTTGAAAATATGAACTTCCTAGGCCCGCCCAGATCTACTGATGAGAGTCTCGGGGGTGCTCCCCAGGGGGCCCTCACACGCCACCCTAGTGGAGGACTTGGAATCGGGGGCCAGGGCCGCAATGTTCTGAGCCAGGAGTCCGGGAAAAGCCAGACCCTCGGCCCTCTTGTGTGACCTGTTTGGTGCTAGTGCATAAGTCGAGTCCGGAATGTAGTCACGAGATGATCGGTGACATTCATTCATTACCACACCCCGTGCTCGGCCTGTCGTCCCAGGTCCCAGGGACAGCAGGGAGTCATCTCCCAGCGGCTGCCGGCTCCCTGGGGGCCCTCCCTGTCTCCTCAGTGCCACTGACTGGCGTGTCCCTGCTCTCCCTCCGTATCCAGAGCGTGTCCCCAGCCCAGTCAGGTCTGACCCGGAGGGGCCCAGGGAAAGGCAGGCCCCCGAAGACCAGAGAGACTCAGGAGCGAGAGGGCCCCCGCCGGGACCAAGCACGGGTGAGTGGGGCCTGCCTGCCGGGTGGCAGTGTGGCCGGCATCCCAGCAGCGGGATCAGGGGGCCAGCGGTTCTGAGAGGGGGGTGGGAGGGACAGCTGGGGCCAGCCGGGCTGAGCGGGACAGGCGTCCGGGAAGAGGGGCCACTGAGACGGCCGGAGAGGAGCACAGGGCATTGCAGCACGGGGGACGGTCCCAGCAGAGGTGCGGCCTCCTCGGGCGTGCTGGCGGCCGCCACGCTGGTCTGTGTGGAGTGAGGGGAGGGGCGCACGAGGGCGGGCCGGGGCTCCTGACAGTGAGTGCATTCACGGGGAGGCGTGTGCCCCCGCCCAGCACGGGACCAGCCTGTGTGCGCCTCGGTGGGACCGTCTCTCTGAAGGAAGGCCTGGGTGAGGCTCTGTGGCGTCTGTTGCCCTTCCCGGTGTCCTCTGCCTGCTCCTGTGAAGGGGACGCCTGTCCCTCCCGCACAGAAATGGGGTGTAACTCAGAGGGCCCTGGCCTGGCGTCCGGAGGATCACTCAGAGCCGTGTTTTCTGTCTTCAGTCTGCACTTTGCACCCTCGGGTTCCCACGCCGCCTCCTTCCTGCCGGCCTGAGTTTGCAGACTCTGGGTCCTTCCCCCAGTCACTTCTCTGCCTTCCCCCACGGGGTGTGGCCTCCCTGAGCTTGGTGATGACACCCCTCCCTTCCCTGTGTCCCTCTTTCCCAGCCAATGTGTAAGGCCAGGCAGGACCCTCCCATAGTCCCTGTTCTGTCACGGACAGGGCACTGGGTCCCAGGGGCCTCCCCAAACCCTCTGTTCTTTTGGCATCTGAGGCCCATCAGGGTGACACTCAGATGCCAAGGGACCAGCTGATGGCACTGGAGGGCGTGGCCTTCACAGCGCTTCCCTCTCCTCTGGGGGGGGGGCTGCAGTGGTCTGAACGGAGCATGGGCGCCCCCCCCCCCCGTTCCTGGCGGGTGCCGGAGCAGATCCAGGCCCGCTGGGAACTGGCTGCGTCACCCCGCAGGAGCCCGGGGTCGGGGAGGGCCCTCACGGGAGTCTGTCTCCCCCACAGCGCCCCCGGCCAGCACCGGCACTTTGTCCTCAGTGAAGCAGGAGGAGGCGTCTTCAGGTGGGGAGTCCCCGGCCTCCACCCCCAAGGACCTCCCGCCCGACACGGGACCAGGTGAGTGAAGCAAGGAGTCCTCTGGCCACAGCAGGGCCTCAGAGGGGCTCGGGGGCCTTTTTTGGGGTGGGTGGGGGGACCTGCTGGGGGCTTGCTCCTGCGGGATCGCTTCCCCGCCACCCAGGTAACGTTTCTTCCCTGGGGCTCCGGGGACCCAGGTTCTCTGTGGCCCTGGTCTTCCCTCCCCGTGGTCCGGCCTGGCTGGAAGGCTGCGGCTTGGACACTGGCTGCATGCTGCCCGGTCTGTGGTCGGGTGACAGGAGGGCCTCACAGCCACCACTAGTCCCTAGGTTCAGGAATGCCTTCGTAGCCCATTAAACGCGACACCGTCTTATCCCAAAGTTTAGATGATTCTTACAGACACTCACTGCTTCTGTGGCTGCAGGACTACATTAATACCGGTGGGTCACTTCCAACAGAAGTCAAGTTCTGTCCTGAGATCGTGGTGAGGGTTACAGATCAGCTGCAGGGAGCAGAGGGCCCGAGGCCTTGCCACTGGGTGCTGTCCCGGACGCCCACCAGGGAAGGTCCCCGTGCCCTGGCCCTCTGGCCTGCGGGTTAAGTTCAAGCTCCCACAAGGACAGAAATTACTCTGGCCCTAGCCCCTGGAAGTTGCTGGTAAAGGGCCGAAGATTTTCATTTTAATGTGCGGGGGGCAGGGTTCCCGTCACCCTTGGAGCAGACCTTGCGGTCCAGCAGCTGAGGCCACCAGGTGCTGGGGGAGGTCCGGGAAGGGTGGGGGCAGGGTGGGGGGCTGACTGCCGAGAAGCCCAGGGGGGAACAGCAGCCGGAGGAGGCTCTGGGAGGACGCATGGCGTTCCGGCTGGCTGGGCTCAGCCGCTGAGACCGCCTCCTCCTACCGCCTCGGCCCCACCCTTTCACCTCTGGGCCTTGGGAGCTCCCTGGCCCCAGTCCTGTCTCAGACTCAGGTGTGACCCACTGAGGCCCAGCTGGGAAGCCCAGGTCCTCACGCCTCCGTGTGTGTCACTGTGATGGCAGTGCCGGCGGTGGCAGACGCTCAGTGTGGCCTTGCTATGGGGGTGAGGAGCTCTGCGTGTGGCTGTCACCCAGCCCCTGCAGGCCTGAGGCCTCACCCAGTCTGGGGGCAGCCAGGGCCCGCAGGGCTCCTTGTGGTTCAGGACAGGGGGTGGAGCAGAACTGAAATCGTCAGAGCTCCTGGGGGTCCTGGTGGGCAGCGTATCCTGTGTCTCGGGGTCCAGAGTCTCTGCCTGTCCTTGTCCCCCCTTCATTCCCACCTATGTGTCTCCCACGGGTCTGACCCCTGACCTCCTGGCTCCCCCCCTCAGTGGGAAGCTTTGTCTCCTCTGGTCTCTGTCCTGCAGGCTTAGGCCCCCGGAGCACACTGGGTGACCTCAGGAGGCAGAGCCGCGGGCGGGCCGAGTGGGAAGGTCCCTACTCCCAGCCTGTGTGGGCCTGGCAGGTGGAAGGGTACAGGGCAGTGCGGGCCGGCGGCTGCGGCTCTGTCTGTAGGGCCCCACCGGGGCAGGGCAAGGGGGCAGCAAATCAGCGGAGGGTCCCTTCCGCAGGCGGTGTTGCCGGTGTGGTCATCAAGACAGAAGCGCAGTCTGAGGACGAGATGGTGGCGGAGCAGCTCTTCCTGGTGAAGCCCCCCCGCCAGGCCCAGAGCACAGTCCCCGAGGGGCCCAGCAGCCGGACCGGGGGTCCCCACCAGTGTCATGCCCAGGCGGCGCCCAGGGTGCGGGCAGGGGACCCGCGGCCTCGGCCGGCAGGGGCGGCCGGGGAGACGCCCCGCGTCCTCCCTCGCCGCCGGCGGGAGCGGGCCTTCCCCTGCCCGGACTGCGGGCAGAGCTTCCGCTTGAAGATCAACCTGACCATCCACCAGCGGACCCACGTGGACGCGGAGGCGCAGGAGGCCCGGGGCGGCGCGTCCGCCGGCTGGGGCGAGGCGCCCTCCACGCTGGAGCCGGGGGAGGTGGTGGTGCCCGGGCCCGTCATCCGCTGGCTCCCGGAGGAGCCCGAGGGCCACCGCGCCCTGGCGGGCCGGCCCTTCGCGGGGCGCAGGCCGGGGGCCTCCAAGGTCTACCACTGCAGCGAGTGCCTGCGCTTCTTCCAGCGGCGGAAGAGCCTGCTGCTGCACCAGCGCCTGCACACGGGCAACAGCCAGGGCTGGCCGGCCTGCCCCTACTGCGGCAAGGCCTTCCGCAGGCCCTCGGACCTCTTCCGGCACCAGCGCATCCACACGGGCGAGCGGCCCTACCAGTGCCCGCAGTGCGGCCGCGCCTTCAACCGGAACCACCACCTGGCCATCCACATGCAGACCCACGCGCGCGGCCCGGCCGGCCCGCACCTGCCCGCCGCCTCCGCCCGCCTGGGCGGCGCGCCCCGGCCCCGGCCCCGGCCCCGGCCCAGCCGCTCGGAGGAGGGCTGACCAGGCGCGAGCCCGGCAGCAGGGGCAGGACCTGCTCTCCGCCTGCGGGACCCTTCCCTTCGTGCTTGCTCTGGTTCCTCATTCTGGGATGCCTTTGGAGAGGGGTTTTTTCTATTCTTTTTTCTTTCTTTTTTTTTTTAATTTTTAAAAAATGCATTTATTTATTTTTAGAGAGGGAAGGGAGGGAGAAAGAGAGAGAGAGAGACATCAATGTGCGGTTGCTGGAGGCCGTGGCCTGCAACCCAGGCTTGTGCCCTGACTGGGAATCGAACCTGCGATGCTTTGGTTGGCAGCCCGCGCTCAATCCACTGAGCTATGCCAGCCGGGGCTTTTTTCTTTTCATTCAAGTGGGAAGCAGCAGCCTTTGGGGTGACAGCGTGTGAGTGTGACAGTTGTCTCCATTTCCTTCTCCACATTCCTGACTTATCAAGGATCCCTTAAGGCGTAAGGGGTGCCAGGTTTGGGTGGGGGCCTTTGCCAGGTTCCACGGACGGGAAGCGGACCCCAGACCAGGGGTCTCCCAGCAGGAAGGCCTGAAAGGTGGAGGCCCGCGGACGCTGATTTTGTGCACGGAGGTGTGGAGCCTGCCCGCGGTGGCACAAGAGACGGTGGAGTGGACAGAGCCTGCAGCACGGGCATTGGAGACTGGACTTTTTTACTTCGTATTCTGAAACTGTTTTTCTCCTTGTGGAGCTTTCCTGGTACTTTTATAAATGTGCGTGGTTGCATAGGGGACCAAGACTCCTGCGCGGCAGGATTGTTTTGTCGCCTGCTTGTGTGTGTGGTGGGGGGGGGGGGGGCAGTGGTGCAGCTGCGCAGACCAGCTGGGCGTTGACGGGCCTGCCTCCGCTGCCGCCGGGAAACCAGGTGTGTGCGCCTCCGCGCAGAGTGAGTCCCGGTTCCCGGGCCTTCCTGCAGAGGGTAGGGACTGACTTTGGTTATCCCTAGAAAAGGGGAACCTGAAGTCCAGAGTAGGTGGCATGTCCCCACGGTCTCCGCGTTCGAGGGTGTGCATGCCCCATGCCCGTGTGTCTCCGCGAGGGCGTGCCTCCGGGAGCTCCTCCTGAGAGAAGGACCCTGTTTCCCTGAGGCTGGTCGTCCGGCTGGGTGGTTTGTCAGGTTAGAGGAGGGGGCTGTGTCCCAGGACTTGGGCCCCCCGCAGAGTTAGACCCGGGACGTGGGGAAGTCTCCGAACCACCCCCAGCCTCCTGTTCCTGGTTTGTGGATAAGGGTGGTGGCCCTAGGGCTTCCCACCTCCCCTCGGGGCTGTCGGGGTCACAACAGAGTAAGCGGCAACCGGACAAACAGGAGAGGAGGCCTGGCTCCATTCTTTCAAGGTCAAGGCCGCTTTCTCTCTCCCATGTCCATCTGCAGCCCGTTCCCTCCAAACCCTCCAGGAAGGACCTTTGTTTCATGGACCGAGTGAAGGCCCCGTGGGTGCGGAGGGAGGGAACTTTTCCATCGGGCTTTATAATATTTCAGTGAGACACATTCTTACCAGAGCAGCGGGGGTCAAGCGGGAAGGTCAGGCGGCGGCAGTAGCAGGCCCCGTGGAGCAGTCCCCACAGCAGCCAGCTCCTGCTGCGTCCTAAGTCACACCACTTCGGGTGCCGCCCGCGGACGTGCGTCGCGGAGAGCGAGTCTGAGGCTGCGGTGAACGGCTCCTCGGCTGTTCTAATTGTCTCATTTGTCCGGCACCCTGTGAAGTGGACGCCATTCGGGTGCCGGGTCCCTGGCTGTGCCGCTTCCTGCTGCCCTGCCCCCCAAACCCTCACACCTCTCCCAAAGTCACGAGCAGAGTTCGGGGGCAGCTGGCAACGTCGTCATCATCTCTGGAGCAGGAGTGAGCGTGCAAGCCGGGGACAGCGCAGCCAGGCTCCGCCAGGCTTGGGAAGAGGAGGCGCCACGCTTCCCTGCGGGGGAGCCTGCTTGCTTGTCTTGTCGGGTGCCCCCAGCCCTCTCCAGGGCCCCCGCACGTCGGGGCTGGCTGGCGGCGAGCGCTCAAACAGGATACAGTGCAAGTGTGGCTGCTCCGATCTCAACCCGCAGCGGCAGCAGCTGGTCTCAGGTGTTTCCTGGAGATGCCTCGGGCAGCGAGTCCCTGGGCCCGGCTCGCCCACGCTGATGTCCTGGGTCAATGCAAGTGCTCTCCAACGCCAAACAGGAGAAATCTCAAGGCACTAGCGCCCCCTTTCCTTCTTCCATAGCATGGCACCTGCGCACTCCTGGTGAGGCCTTGTGAGTTCTGACATCCAGTAATGTTCAAAGAAAGTTCTTTTCTCCAAAATGAGCCAAGGGACCCTCCTCGGTGCAGGAGCAGAGCAGACGTTCAGGACTCGGGAGGCTGGAGCCTGCTAGGGTCTTAGACTCACTGCCAGCTCTGGGTCTTGGCTTCCTCGTTTGTAAAACAAAGAAAGGTGGGGTCCCCGTGTTCAAGTCCCTTAAGAACTGAGCAAGCACTCAACACCTTTTCTGGCTTTTCCATTACGGCGAGGGGAGGCGTGGGGGAGCTCTCTCCGGCCGTGCCCCGCCCCAGCACCAGCCTTTAGGATGAGAGGACAGCCCCCTCCTGCGCCTCCTCGCCTCCCCACTCACACGCAGCTGCTGGCCCTGGGACCCGCAAGCCAGCGGCCACGGCATCACCCGCCTCAAATCCGTCTTCCCCTGGAAAGGGAATCTGGAGCTGGTTCGCCTTTTTCTTTCTTCTTCCTTTTGAAATCCTCACCCAAGGACATGTTTTTATTGATTTTACAGAGAGAGGAAGTGGGGGAGAGAGAAATATCGATGTGAGAGAGAAGCATCGATCAGCTGCCTCCCACACGCACCCGGGTCAGGGATCGATCACGCAACCTGGTGTATGTCTGGGACGACGCTCCCGAAATAACAGCCGAGCCACCCGGCCCGGGGCCAGCTCACCGCTTCCCTGCACAATGTCGATCAGGCTGAGCAGGTGGGGGGCGCTGAGTGGCCGAAGCAGACGGAGGAAGGGGAGAAAGGGGCCATCTGTCTCAGGGTGTGGTGTCCTGGCCAGCTCCCTGTCCCAGACCTACCCCTCTGTCCATGCAGAGACTTCCCTGCCGCTCAGTGCCCAGTGTGGGGGGGCAAGTGGGGCCCCGGGCTGTCTCAGGCTGGGCAAGCCGGTGACTGCCCACTGTAGGCGGACAAAACCACTGCGGTAGCAGAGGCAAGTGGAGCCAGAGAGGGAGGGAGAGAAAAGGGAAGGAGGAAGGGTGAGTCCAGCACACGGAGGGTGGCCAGTAGGAGTGGACAGGCCGAGGAGTGAGGGAGTGACGGCTGTGGAGCCAGGGTGTCACGGGGTGGCCCCCTGCTCCCTAGAGCTGGGCTGTGAGTGCCACAAACAGCCAGGGGCACAGTTCAAGAGGTAGACCTGAGCCCCGGGGGCAGAGCATGTGACTGCAGGTCAAGAGGTCCCGGGTTCAAATCCAGACGCCCCCTTGCCAAACTGACTTTCAGTACAAAGTAGTGAGTAAGGAGGCCAGTGGCTGCTCTTGCCACCCACAGCGGGCCCAGACCCCGATGGGCCCTCGCTCCCCATGCTGACTGTGCTGTGTCCCAGGTGCTCCCTGGGCCTGTCCTGGCCAAACCTGCGTCAGAATCAGACAACAGAAAAGTGGTTGTGAGCGTTAACTGAGGTCACGGCTCGTCATGCTGTGTGTCGCAGGCCTTCCCCACGGGACCGTGGCTCAGCCCCACTCCTTCCGTTGGCAGGAACCCAGACTTCCAAAGCATCTCCTGGGTTGGTGGGCACACGCCTTCTGTGTGACACGAGCCTGAAGCCGCACTGAGCTCCACACACGCCTGACCCACTTAGGTCTTTGTTCTCATGCCTCCCTTGGCCCCAGAGCCCCTCCGGCTTCTCCCAGCAAACCTCCCAGGGTCCACCTCCTCCAGGAAGGCCCTCCTGACTCCGCAGGCAGGGTGGCTCCTTAAGTTCTGCTCCCCCGGCTCTCTCCTTGGGCTTCTGCCCCTCTTGTGGGAATACCGTGGCTCGTGGGCTTGTCTCCTGTGCGACTCAGACCCTTCGAGGAGCCAGGACAGTGTTTCAAGTCTCTGTGTCCTCACCGCGAACGACAGGGCCTGGTGCCTCACACGCTCCGTGTCTGTTGAGTGACTGAATGAGCGAGTGAGTGGAACAAGAGCACCCTGCCCGGGGCGTTGGGATGGGGATGAGGCTCTCCCTGCACTGAGTGGGCGGGTCGCTGAAGACCGGGACCTGACCTCGCCTGTCCTCAGGAGTATGTGCTGGCTGAGGCAGAAACACAGGGATAGACTCAAATGGCCTTCCCAGGTGGGAAGGCTGGTGCCATCCCCACAACCTGGGGAAGAGGAGGGCTGGAGGACAACCGGCGAAGGCTGGGGAAGGGGAGACGAGGGAGAGGACTGGAGTGGGAAGACTGGCCAGCTCCGGGACATGCAGCAAAAACACTGACATGTAGACGCGTGGCTATCCTGGGTGCAGTGCCAGGGTGAAAAGGTGTTAATGAAAGAGTACATGTAAGTGGGGGTATAGCTCAGCGGTAGAGCATTTGACTGCAGATCAAGAGGTCCCCGGTTCAAATCCGGGTGCCCCCTATTTCTTTGACCCCTTTAGTTACTGAAGGTGGTGCTGAAATTTCTGCCTCTTCCTCCCACATCTGGCCAGTGACCACTCCGATGAAAACTGAAATTAAAAATTTGGACCATCATCCAGACAGCAGCTGCTGCAGTCTCATCGAAGCGAAGAGGCTGATGAAGCTGGCTCAGACCACGCGGGACTCCTGCTCCTCAGGGCTTGTGTGGGGGCCTCACTTCTTTCCCTGAATGTCTCGTTTCCTCAGCCTCACTGTAATCTCCAGGCAGAAAACTGTCTCTTTGTTCTCGCTCCTACCACTTGCTTCCCGGGGGCAACCGTGAGGACGTGAGAACCACGTCCAAAGTAAAGGCTCTGTCCTGTCTGGGGATTCTCAAGGGAGCTGCGGCTGCCGCGAACTTGACCCCTGACTCCCCCTTCCCTCGCCTTTCTGTCCTACCATTTTTTCTTTTTTCACTCTAGGCCAGTATTTCCTGGATGAAAATGCTTAGAAGTCGATTCTACTTTATATAAGCTATTTTTTAATTCAAATGTAGTGAAGACCTAAGGGGTATAAAAAGTCCTGGAGAGGGATCTC